CGATCAACCAAAGTGCCGAGTTTTCGTCCAGCAGCAGAAGCTATGACCGACTAGGTCGTCGGGCCAAGGAAAAATTATTGGATCGTGTACGATGGTCGCCCAGTACCAATAGTTTCAAGACATATCCGCTGACTACTTCAATGGCTTTTCCGACTATAGGAATTCTTCCTTAGTTTGCTGAACTCTGCGTCTACGAAACGAGAGGCTAAATCGTATTTGGCTCGCCTGAAAGCACAGCATCCTCCGAAAGCGCAGACAAAACCGACCACCGGACACTCGAAAGAAACAGTAACACAATCGTTACCATCGGGTGTTAACCTGGGTTCATTCTATGGAGCCTCGCGATCTGTGTATGATAGTCCGGTCTTCAGGCATGACTCAACGCCTCTCCCGCCACTGTCGGAATTGCCAGAGGAAAGACTACATCTAGCCCTGATTAAACTCAGGACACCGCAGCTACTTGACGACACTATTATCAATGGAGTAGCCAAGACCCTTTCCCAGCTGAGCCGTCTAGGGATGGCTTGCTGTGTTGTGGTTGACCCTGGAACTGCGGGCAATGCCAACACCTTACGCAGGGTTGCTGCAGAACAAGCTGAACGTATTTCAATTGCAGTAGATGCACAACCAGACTCAAAGTCTGCCCATCTCGACTCGGTCTTGTCTCTGTCTCCGATGTTTCCCGAAATCCCCACCGTTCTATCCAGAAAGGCGCTTCTTAATCCGCTCCGCGACGGCCAAGTCGTGGTTGTTGCTCCCATTGCCTACACGGAAGATGTTCCTAAGGCAGTTACTATATCTGCGAATGATGCCATTCTGGCCCTCACAAAAGAGCTTGCCGGCCTGGCGATGCGTCCTGACCCTGATGAAGACCCTTGGCTCACAGCGCAGAAAATTGCTAATCTGCAAAAAGAGGTCTCTTTGGATCGAGTAATTCTCCTGGATCCTCTTGGAGGAATTCCTTCATTCCGAGGCCCGCAGACATCGCACGTTTTCATCAATATGGAGCAGGAATTCGATGATATCAAGAATGAGTTGCTTCACGTACAGTCCAGTGAAGCTTGTACAGCAACCACACTAAAGGGGGAAAATACATTCGTCCAGGATCCTTTGGAGAGACACCTGGACAACCTGCAGCTGTCGCAAAATGTGCTTGCTATGCTCCCATCGGCGTCCTCGGGGATTATTACCTCTCCGCTAGAAGTTTCTAATTCAGCTAGGACACCCCAGGCTAACCCTTCGGATGTATCTGCTGTGGGCACCCGACGACAACGAAACCCACTCATTCACAACCTACTCACAGACAAACCACTGCTTTCCTCTTCACTACCCATGAGCCGACGAGAGGCGATGAACCGTAGACGCGGCTCCATCAATACCCCAAGTTCTCATACTACTTTTGTCAAGCGAGGCATGCCTCTCACGATGATTCCCAATCCACGAGTTGAGGTGTGGACAGCACAGAATCGGCCACGGTTAACGCTGGATGATCCAAGCATCGACCTCCCGCGATTAGTTCAGCTGATCGAAGACTCCTTCAACCGTAAACTAGACGTCCAAGATTATCTCAACCGGGTTAACGACCGCTTGGCCGGACTGATTATTGCAGGAGAGTACGAAGGTGGTGCCATTCTCACGTGGGAGCTGCCGCCGGGTGTGGAAGATGATGGCAGCCCGGCCAGTGAAGCTCGGATGGTCCCATACCTGGACAAGTTTGCCGTCTTGAAACGCAGCCAAGGCGCCGGCGGTGTGGCCGATATTGTGTTCAATGCTATGGTTCGGTCATGTTTTCCAAACGGGGTGTGCTGGCGCAGTCGCAAGGACAATCCGGTAAATAAGTGGTACTTTGAACGTTCTACGGGGACGTGGAAGCTATCCGACACCAATTGGACTATGTTCTGGACGACTCCAGGATTGACGGAGAATTCGCAGAGGTTCTCCGATTACGAGCAAGTGTGTCGGAGCATTCAGCCGAGCTGGGCTGACGATACGGGTGTTGTTGATTGATGGACATATAGACCTTTTGACATTTCTTTTTATCCGGAACTCGTACATAATATGCACCAAGTGCAGCAAGGGTTCAGGCATGAATGTATATAGATTTACCTCTGGAAATATCCGCAATAGAACATTTGCATGGACCCTCACCGCCTTCGGTCTGGAGACCGAACTGCCGCCGCGATTCCCTCGCGATGGAGATCCCTTGACCTCTCCTGAAGTAGACATCGACTATGGATCTCAGGATGACTAGAAGTCAATGACATGATGCCGATCTGCATCGAGTGCTCGTACCCTGTGTCGCACTTGTACAGCACTTACAGTCGTGCCGACGATCGCTCGTTAGGTAAAGGCGTGCGCTTGACACAATGTCCACGCTGCCAGCGATTTGCGGATAAGTATGTTGAATATGACTTTGTCGTGATCTTCATTGATCTTGTTTTGATCAAGCCGCAGGTATGCACATTGAAGTGATGTCTTGTCCGGAATACTAGTATACTGACCGCGGAAGGTCTATCGCCATCTCCTTTTTAATAGGCTTGGAGGCGACAACGACCAATTCGATGTATGTCCATTTATCCCTCATCCGCTCTCTTGTCTTGTCTATTTTCTCCTTAGAATTGAAATTCTCCAACTGACCAAATTGTTTGTTCGCTAGCGCTCTATAATTCGTCTAGGAGTCCTTTTACTTTTGTTTGACGTCTACCTGACATGGGCACGCATTGAGAAGTCTCCCTCATTGGCCACTACTTTCCTCTCTCGCGCACCGATCGTTGTCCAGTACTTTTTCTTTTTGGGTCTAAATGCGCTTGCAACTCTTGCCCATCATCTCACTATCCGTGTCCTAGCTTCAGTCCTTGCCCCGACGCCTCGGGGCTTGAAGCAAAATGGCCGCAACCCGAATGCCACCACGACCGAAAGCCCTCTATCCACCCCCTCGACACCAGTACATACCTCTCCCCTATCTCAAAACACGAATGTGCAATCCCAGCTCTCTCCCACATCAGCGTCCATGTTGAGCCCACGTAGGCTCAGTCGGCAAGGCTCTTACGATATTCCACCAGTGGGCGGAGGATTCTCAACCGCAAACACTTCAGGAGGTGATAATCACGCCGTCCTTTCAGCAACTCAGGGCTCATTCCTGCCACCTCCTTTGCGCCGGGCCTCTACAGCTCCAATCCAGAGCATCCAACCGCTGCCTCCTCCATCCCCCGCCAGCCCTACCGCCATCAGCACCGCTCTTCTCGTTAGCAGTTGTGCCAAACTTTTCCCGATACTGCTCGTCATATGGGGCCCCGACGGCAGCGGCATTGCATCTCAGACACCGGCCAGCAGCAGTGCAGGAACAAGTCGAGTGACTCCGGGCAATATCTCACAGCACGCGGTGACCGGTATGACTCCCGTGGCAACTAGCACAACAGGCTCGTCGGGAATAGTGGGATCTTCATCAGCAGCTTCATCAACACTTCTAGAAAGCTTGATTCAGATGCTACCTCAGTCGGTGCCGACAAGTTACCTAGCAAACTTTGTTGAGCTGACAGGCTCGCTTTTCTCATTGGGAGCAGCAGATACGCATCTGGTGCTATTGAGTAACATCGAAGCCCTATATGTCCTCTTAGGATGCGGGTACCTCCGCGCTGTAACACTAGCAGTCGCCGGACTAATGGCTCGATGGACAGTACAGAGAGTCATCCTAGGAGCGATAGGAGTTGGCTAACATACGGCCGAAATACGTATTTGATCTCAAAAATGAAAAATGATACTCATCCTGTTCATGAGAATCTATGAATCACCGCTGAGAAAACATCAATGCAGCAACATAGCAAAAGGAAACGTAGTACCAAGCATACACAAGATAACTATACAAACACTTAGGATCCACCTCAAATTATCCACCTTCCAAACCAGACCTAACATACTCTAGCCCCCCAACCAAGAACCGAAAAAGAAATCACTGCGGTACCCGATCAGGTCTAATATCCGCCCTCTTCGGCGAGATAAGCGGATGCCACTGCGCCATAAACGTAATCGCTGCACATATCATAAATCAGCACACTCATTCTCATTCTCCCCAACCCATACCCACAATACTCAAACCTAGTATAGAGCCAATAGAAAAGGAAAGGGAAAACATACCCCACATCAAATAACAAGACACAAACGCAAGAATCAACGTACTCCGCCAAAGCCTAATATACCCGTTAGACACAGACACAGCGCAAAAAAGAGCATTAAAAGGGGAGGGAAAACATACGTCTGGTTCTCGCCTTTAGGACTGAATACCCAGGCGACGACGGAAGCGACAGCGATGACAATCAGGCCAATGATTAGACTCCACCTTTCCACTTTGTTAATATTTGCCTTCTTCTCGGTCTTTTGGAAAATGAGTGAGGATATGGCAAGACATACCCGTTCGCCATTTTGTATCTTGGGTATTCTATTTCGAACAGCTAATGGTTCCGTGAATTGTATGTAGAGTATAAAGAAGGTAGACGGTCAATGCACTCGGACACAAGGACCAGCCAGTGTCTTCTGGTTCTTCCTTCTTTTCTTTAAGTGAGGTTAATCGGTGACTGGGTTGGTAGTCCCGATATTGTGGAAGCGGGTATGTTGGCTTCGGTTCAGTGAACTGTATCTGTTCGCGATTCGAGGTATCTCTGGTGTTCTTCTCCACCAGGGCGGGAATGGGTGTGGCCTGCGAGAGAGAATAGCCCGCTTAGCTCGTAAGGGGCGGGGGATTGGGCGCGGACCGAGACGAGCAAGAGCGATGGATGTTGACTCGGTGGTGGGAGGATTGGTGTCGTTGAGGTGAACTCTCCGCGGGATAAAGGTATGGGATGTCGGAGCTCTAGGCTGGGGAGCTGGTGGTGTTCGCGCCTGAGGCAGGGATGCTTGGTAGTAGGCGGTGATGAGTTGCAGAATGGGATTGTCTTGGAACAGCACGGGGAAACTTTACAGGCCCAGGACGAGTAGAAAAAAAATTCACAATATGACATAATCAAGGCACTATGGCGGAGTGGTTAACGCGATGCCCTGCTATACCCATTACGTGGCTTAGCCTAGGCATTTCCCTCGGGAGCGTGAGTTCGAATCTCACTGGTGTCGCTTTTTTGTCTCTCCATCATACATAAAGTATGGTAGGGCTTGTTTGGATGAGAAATTGCATGGGGTAGGTAGGTAGGCTATGGGCATTTCATGTGAGAGTTGATGCTGTCTCTTGGTTTTTTATTTGGGGTTATGTCATGATGTTCGAGTGGACAGATTGTTCTTATTCGCCTACAAGACAGTTTCTAGACTTAAAAAAGCTTGCTTTACAGTCTACTAAACAACATTACGCATCAGTAGAGCCACAAATGACCCTATATATCCATAGATTGGGGGATATAAAACAACTTCACAGTGCATAAAGGGGTAGTTCACAACGTAATCCGACGGTTCCATAACAGCTGGCCAAAAGAAGAACGTAACGAAAGAGTGAAAGAAGAAATAGATTCAAAAGGGTGTTCTAAGCTCCCTCACGGCTCTTACGGTAGCTAGCCTGCAAGACACATCAGTTACGAACATCTCGATAACAACGCAAAAAATCATACCTCTTGTTCAACCTGCAAACCATCAACCACAGGAGCCAGCTCGCTGAGGATTTCATAAGCCCGCTTATGGAACTCAAGCTGGGCGGCGATCAAGTCCGCCAGGTTTCTCAAAGGCTCAGGAGTGTCCAGAACCTAGTAGTCAGTTAGCAACACCTTACCGCAACACCTACAGAATCTGCAACTTACATTCTTCATGACGCTCACTGCCTCCTCGGTCTGGCTAACGAACTCATCCTCGGCCTGTTCGATCTCCTGGCGGGCCTCCTCGCTCAGGTTGTCCAGGTCACCCCTAGCAGCCGCCTTCTTGCTGGCCTTGACCGAGTCCAACATAAGACGGGCATTCTCAACGTTTCTGCGCGCCTTGGCCGCAAACATCAGGTTGGTGTTGAGGGTCGTGTTCCAGCCAGCGAGGAAACGCGACTGGATCTGTCCATCCTGAGACAGACGGGCTTCACCCACTTTCTCTGAGGCCAGCGCATACTTCTCAAGGGCAGTGGCCAGAGGGTCGTCGCCGGTGGAGCTCTGCGCCAGAGTCTGGGATCCGGACAGAGAGGCGCGGGCAATGGCATGATTGAACGTCTTCGGCTGGGGCTTGGCCGAAGGAGGGGCAGTCAGGGCAGCCTGGGCCTCCGCAGGGGAAGAAGCTTGAGACAGAAGCTGAACCTTTTCACCGATGGTCCGGCCTAGGTCGTTGAATGACTCGCGGATGTTGGGTGGGTAGTCGTAAGCCTCGTTAGAGTACTGCGAACTATATGGATTGGTCAGCGATGTTAGTATGTGAAAGTAGCAGACCCTTTCCATGGGCGGGCTATTAAGGCTTTCGTAACTTACGTCACCTGAAGGAGCTTCTGGTGAACCAACTTAAGAGCGTCCACGCGCTTCTCAAGCTCAAGGTATTCATCGGGAAGTTGAGTCTTGTCTTCGGCTTGACCCAACTGCTCTTTGATCATCTGCTGCGTGCGCGCAGCAAAAGGCGAAAAGCTCGCACTACCCGCAAAAGCAATATAAGATTAGAAACATGTCAGCAGAAGGCTTTGGATGCTGAGGACTATTACTGGTAAAAGCGACAATGGAGGGGTGTGGGATAATATAGCCTCGGAAGTCATTTCATCTCACCTAAGATTCTTTCCGAACGCCTGCACCTTGTCCATTTTGTAAGTCAAGACAATCCGACTGAAAAGTGATATTCGGGAAGAAAGATGACTTCACGACGGCAACCTTGTCCTTAGGCAGACAACGAGGATTTGTTTGGTTTATGAGTGCTGGCAGATCACGGAGTCGAGGCCCCATGCATGCTCACCGCCTTTGATGAAGTTCAAGTGCACCGCCACGTTTCACAATAAATTACATCGAAGTAACTATAGTAACTAATGTATGTATGTAGTATGTAGTATGCCATTCTGGTTAATCGCCATGACCCATCCCTGCATCCTTCATAGTCCGAAATCAAAAAAAGACACAGAAAAACACAATGACAACAGCACAAAGGAAAACGGAAGAAATATAGGACAACAAGAACAAGCATAAATAAAAAGAAAAACAAATCAAATCAAAAACACATGCAAATATTGGTCATTATTATCATCAAGTAATGTCAAAAGCCAAAAACTCCAGAACCCCAGTCGAACACCCTTAAGTCACAGCCAACTTGATAGTGTATCATACAGGAATCATTGCTGAACGTCTAGATCAATGAATCGTAACGCATGATAGAAATCGGTAAGTCGTAAGGAACAATCGTGTAGCAAAGTCTCGAGGCGACCCCGCCTAGGTCAGGGTTGCCATCATCGCACGGAGAATCCGAGGATTGGGGCCTAGGATTTGACGACTCAGAATTCAATTCATCGCTATCTTCAAACACGACACAACTTACCTTTACGATCTCTCTTCGTCTCAATCACCTCTTCATAGTCGCCATCCGTCAGTAACTCCGTTCTCCGGCTCACCTCACCGCTTCGTCGCGCCAATGGCATAAATTCACGGAGTTCTTCGTCACTGTCTCGGGGACGCACCACGATGAGCGGGCCTGCATGAGAGCTGCTGGACTCAACATAGGGCTCGACCATGCGCACAGGAGATGACCGACCACGGCGGCGACCATGGACCGAAATAGACCGCGCACGGGAGACAGCCCTAGTCACTTTCCGCTCCGAGATATCGTATTGACGCGTTCGCGATCGGTGCCGTGAGGGTGACGGCTCAACAATCAGGGTGTTGTAGCTTGTCCGGGGCGAATAGGCCTCCATAGCGACTCGTTCCACTGTCCTGTCTTTTGTCTTTTCCCGTACGGGGGACGGCGAGGTGTGGATGATCCGAGCTGGGAGATTGTTAGTTTATATACTTTCTAGGTCTTGGGCACGTGGTCACTTGCTTTCGGTCCGGCGCTTGATCGTGCGACTTCGACTGATCACTTCGTCGATTTGTTCCTTGGAAAGTGCAAGCTGGATAATGACCATGTCACCCTGTCGCGAGTCAGTCAACGTCGAAGTGGATGCAATCCACATCTGCTCCACCTAAGGACACGTACCTCTTCCTCATAAGGGTATCCAAGCTCACGAATTGCATGAGTATGAATTAACTTTCGGGGCACCCTGGTCTTGCCTTTACGAGGATATGGTTTGTCGATTTCAACCTTCTCTTCAACTACCCGCTCGCGAAAATGACTGCCCGAGCGACGCGGGTGCGCTGAAGCGCGACTTCGTTCCCGGAAACCCCGATATTCCTCGTCACCGAAATAATCCGGTTCTGCGATGCGGATCTCCTCGTAGAAGTCTGGCTCGCGGGAGCGTCGAAAGGACCGTCTCCGCGCCGGTGGGGGACTGGGAGCGGCCCTGGGAGCGGCCGGGCGATAGTAGTACTCATCTAGCTTGCGCGAGGGGATTCGGTCGAAGGTATCTAAGGAAGATTGCCGTCGTAGGAGACGGGGACGGGGAGGAGGGCTGTCTGCGCGTGAATGATCATAGGCCACCAGCGGTCCCGACGGGTGAATGAGATGGTCGTCCTCATACTGCCTGCCGGCGCGGCGTGCAGGAGGGCCGTACCGGTCATGCTCCTGTAGGCGATATTCGAATCGTTCATCCTCTACCCGGCCGGGTCGATCGAGAACTGGCGGGCCACGGGAATGATGGCGTTCCCGTCGCTCACGAGCAAAACGATCTGGATCCCAGCGGTCAGGCTCTGTCCCGAGCACTCCAGTGGAGCGGCGATATTCGTCGTATCGAGGCATGTGCTTAATAATTACGAGGTCCTATGATCAGGGATTTGTAGAAGAAGCGGTGTTAAGAATGATCTGGTGGATGCGAACCGTGGGTGACGACAGCGGCTGACACTGCGGGCCGCCGACGGCTGATGGCGGGGGGTTTTTGCGGTAGAACCGTGGATAACGATCAGGAGAAGAGAGAAATGAAACAGTGGAGAAGATGATTGTGGACTGGAACAAGATGGACAACAGAGGGTTGACGAGGCAGGTATAAATGTTAATTGAGAATGGATAGAGAAGAGAGAGCATCATCGAACAAACATAATCAAAAAAGTAAAAATGTTGATAGATGGTAAAAGGAAAATAATAAAAAAACGCCGCTGCCTGAGTTTCGAAACGGGCCACTAACGATGACGTCCGAGGCGCCCAGTCGCAGAGAGAGTATAGTGTAGTACCTCCATTACCGTATTATTCCCTCCACTCTATGTTGCTAGAAGCGATTACTCGCGATACAGAGTATGCGCCCGGTCACAGTTATTCTTAGCCATTCGCCACTAGGCTTCGCCTTCTCTCCTCATCGAGACGCTGATGGTCTCCTGCCCAACCGTTGATGCTGAATGGCAAGATAGTGGTCGATCTCTGACACTAGCCAAGCGCAGGACAGGGGTCCAGAATCAGATACTGACTAGACTGACTACTCCCCGGAACTAATCTAGGGTCCGTACCTCCTACAGACCGTCGATGTGGCTACCCAATCCAGTGCAAGTTCTAGCCTGTCAGTCTCAGCTCTACACCTGCCTGCATCTTTTGGGCATTGCATTATCCGCCTATGCGCCGTAGGCGAAAAAGCATTAGTCTACTCAATCCGTACATCCCGACTGGGCGTCGCTGTCTGCTAGAAAAGTGATACTGCTGATGCATATCAGCATGTGGATTCAACTAAGTGGTCCCAAATAGCCATGTCTAGAACGCAAGGTTCTCCACACGGTTGATACAAATCCAACTGCAACGGAAAGGCTCCGGTTCCAAAACATCCTCCACTATCCTGCAAGGGCATTGCCGATCTGCAGTCTTAGGTGTCCCTGCGGGTAGCTTTATATATATGGTACCATCCCTACAGTTGACAGCTGTCCGCTCTTCCGGACTGGGAAAGCAGCAGACAGGAAGCAGAGTTACGGCTGCAAAGCCGCGAATCATGTCCACTTGTAATCGCACACTTGTCCTGGAACTTCGGCAGAATAAGGACAGCCACAGTGGAGCCTCAAAGAGCCGTTTAGGGACACCTACTTCTTCCTCAGTAGAATGTTTCCCATAAC